GGGCTGGAGAGGAGGACGTAGACATGGTTGGGGAGCCTAGACGTTTTACAGCTGACATGGAAGTACGATGAAGGCAGCAGAGAACTGAGTCATGGATTAACTAGTATCAGACTGACTTTAATCCTCTTGAAAAATGTCTTAAAAAATATAAATACATTAGATCAGGGATCTCCAATCCCCGGTTGGCGGGCCAGAACTGGTACATAAATAATTTGGTACCGGCCTGCAGTGGGACACAGTGAAAAAATGTATTGTATTTTTACTCATTTACTTAATAATAATAATAATATTTAAAAATAATGTCTTCGAGACTGTACAGGCCAACTGGTCAAAAAGGTACAAAAAAGGTTGAGGACTGAATAATAAAAAAGAAGAAAATAAATACATATGAAAAATAAAATATAAAAATATTTCCCACAAAATAAATAATATTTGAAGACATTTTACATTTTTAATAACACCTTTAATAATAATAATAATTAACTATTCTCAGATTATTTTGAGCCTCATTGTGGTTACCACTTCTCACGCTAAATCCTATACTATACATTTTATTAAAAATCTACAGATAATACAGCATAACAGCCAGATGAAAATTCACACAAGAACTCTCAGTGACGCGTCATTAACTGAAGATGCACCAGTAAAGAGCAGTGACAATGTTGTTTTCTCAAAACCAAATATAAAGTACGGATGTTTTGCCAAAATACGCAGAAGTTTTAATCCATTTTTAATGTGCATCTTATTAAATTATAATTCAGTTAGAAATATATACAGTACATTTAAATTGAATTAGCTTTTTGTGCGGAAACATATTACATAAAAAAACGGATCCAGAAGAACAGAGGAAACAAAATCTGCACCAAAAGAGGGTTTATTATGTCTTATGACTTTATTGATAAGTTGATTTTTGAAAGTATGTACCATTAATTAATTAATTAATTATTTTGGAAGTAAAAATCGATTTTAATTGAAGATATTTTCTGGTTATTGTTGTTTATAAAACAGCTAAATAAAATGTTAAATATACATATTATGAAATTTAATATTATGTTTACTTGCTTTTAAAAGCTAAAAACTTATTTAGCACAATTAGTAACCTTTAAAAATAACTGCCTACTCATTTATTTGTCATTTGAAGACTGTCCCTCTACAGTAAATGTCTCTTCTAACCATCTCTTTAAACTGTATTCAAACAAATCAGATTTATAACCAGCATAACAGGGAAACATGAGACGAGAGTGAACTTAGAAAAAACAGTCTGTAAACATTGTCAGAGTTTGACAGTGACGGCACCAGTGACGTCTCAGTTCATCTATATTACAGGTCTCCGGTTCAAACTCAAAACTGACAATTTAAAAATGTAAACTTACCTTAATGGTCGACACGTTCCCATTACTGTCTCCAGCACAATAAGACCTCTGAGAAGGATTTAAAAGCCGAATGAATCGGAAGACATGTCTGCACTTGGTCCGCACGGGCAGCGCCATCTTTACTGTGACGTCACACTCCGGTGGCTGCAAAAGGACAAAATAGAGCTAAAAACAGAAATCCGTATAGTTTCTACAGTTTTATACAGATTGTGTAATAATAATAATAATAATAATAATAATAATAATAATAATAATAATAATAAAAGAACGTACTGTTAAATGTAGATTATTATTTATTTTCTAATCTTTTATTTTAACATATTTCTTTGGATAATTAATACTGCTGCTGATAATGCCTTTTATATATACTTATATATAAGGACAGGATTCCTCATCATTATCCTGATCATCAATAACAAGAAAACCTTTGAACCCACTAGAAATGAAGCCTGTGCTTTACATTTACATCAGAGCCTATAGAATACACTGTATATACAGTATGTGTGTGTATATATATGCAGCTGCACACTCTCCCACCACCACATGTACAGTATGGAAACGTGTCAGACATTTGTTATCAGAGATGTCCGTGTTAATCGGCCGTTGTTGTGTCTAGCCGCGGCCGTTTCCTCCCCGGGCCGGCCCTTTCACAGGGAGCAGCTGCAGAAGTGCTCTGCAGCTCTGTCCTTTCCCTCATTACAACGTGGCGATGTACAGACGCCGAGTGATTATTCCTCACGTGGGCTAAGGTTACAACATGTTTGCAGGGCACGCCGGCCGACGGAGACGGACCTCTAGTCTCTTTTTCAAAACATCTGCTCCTGATCTGTATTTTTTTTTTTTCACCTTTTGCATCTGGTTGCATTTGCACCACAAAATACAGACTAGACTATCATTCCATATTCATTATTATAACCCCAGGCCTCGGCTCAGGCACCGCTTCTTTGGTGCGTCAGATTTTCAGAGACCTGAGCCGTTATGTTCTCTCACGCCCGGGCGATGGGGTGATGGTGGTTGGTGAAGCAGTGTGTTACAGTGTGTGTGTGTGTGAGTGTGTGTGTGTGTGTCAGCTCCTGTTTCCTGGCCACCCACTAGAAGCTGGTCCTTCTGTACCTCATTCTCCTTTTTCTACCCTGAGAGAAACTTTCTGCTTTTTATTTCTTTTTTTCTTTTTTTTTTCAAGTCAAATGATAAATTATCTGTGTAACACAATACGTGGCTCTGCAGCCCCCGTGGGGTCAGGATTTCTAATTCTGTCAAATCTCATGCAGGTCAGCGGTAATAGAACAACATGGTGGTGTAAGTGTAAGATGGGTCAGGGCCACATTAACCCACGCCGGGGACCAGCGTGTGTGAAAATGAGCTGCTGCATGTGGTCAATTTGATTATACATGTGCAAAACAAAAAGGAATCGAGGTCCTAGGGCTAGATTCTAACACGGGCGCTCGGTAATGAAACCAAGGTGGGAGAAAGTCAACCTTCCTCGTGTCATGTGACCTGCTGTAGGACATATTATGATTTTAATAAACGCTAGCAGTTAGCCTCACGGTGTAAGACACTGCCTTTTTAGACATAGTGAAATGTCAAACAGCATTTTGGTTACTTTTCCATTTCAGTTTTTATCAAGTATTACAATTATAGTTTTGACATTCCTTCAATAAGGCTGGTATGTTTTGGAAAAAGTAAAAAAAGTGTAATATAATTTGGGAGTTATATGTGTGTAGCATTTGTTTTATATGCAGGACTTTTCCAGGGACGTTAACGTGATGTTTTTTTCTCCGTCTCCACCTCATTCTCGCTGCTAAAACGTGTCCATCACTCAGTTTGAAGCAGAAAGAGAAACTCAGTGCTGCGATCTCCAGAGAGAAGTGAGAGGCCATTCAGGTGATGAGTGAAGACGTTGTGTTTTCAACACAAATCCTCTCTCCTTTCACCATCAGAGTGAATTCATTTTTCATCCGTACGGGCCTCCCTCTACCGCCTCTCCGCTTCCTCCGGCTCGACTTTACACCTCGACTCGGGCCATTCTCACCTCTGCTCTGATGAGTTTCATAACCTTTCAAATCTGCGTACGTCGTTGACTCTCGTGCCATGGCAGAAAAAACACAAACAGATGTATGTACATATGTATGTACCTGGGTAGAGGGCACGGAGCACAATGTTTTACTCCATGTCCCTTCTTGATGTTTCCTATCTGAGATTTAGGATCTAGGTCAAACTTGGGCAAACTAAGGCTCGTGGGCCAGATATGGCCCGCTGGACTTTCCAATCCGGCCCGCCAAAATCTAGTACAAGATGTGGTGAGGACTGATGTCAGTCCTTCTGTTTCGTGCATTTCGACAAATTGACTGTAATTTCTGTTGATGCCACTAAATGGCAGCAGACATCCGATGTGAGAAATTATCTTTGAAAATGTAGGTTTATTCTTGTATATTTTAGTTAGATTATTAATAAAATAATCTAAATAATAAAATCTACTAAATTAAACTAAAATCCTACAGATCCTAAACATTTATCATAAAAATAAAAATACATTTTGTTTTGTCACATTCCAATAACATGGAGAAACAAGCGTGTGTACACACACACACACACACACACACACAGAAACACTTGGAGATGCCAGTAGGAAAAGTCCATCTGGTGAGCGACACTCCACCTGTCATAATACAGCCAAGCAAAGCATGATGGGAGCTTGCGGTGAAGGTAGGTGAGGGTGGGGGATGACAGCTGCTGAGTGAGAAGGTGTGTGTTCACATGTGAGTGAGTGTGTGTGCGCGGACACTGATGCTGAAAGACCGGAGCTCCCCTCTGACACGCCACGTCACGGGACGTCCACCACCCAAGCGGACGGACGGACGAGATGGACGGACGAGATGGACGGACAAACAGAATAAATGAAGATGGGAGAATTATCCAGCAGATGAAACGGCGGTGTAAGGAGTGCGACCGCAGGGATAAGAATAATAGGTGTGATGTGGATGATGTGCAGAGCAGAGAACGTGTCACTGAGTGAACTGTCAACTCGACCGCACACAGCCTGCGGCGCTGCTGATGTCAGAGAGCGGGAAGCCTCAGAAATCATAATAAACACATTTAGGACAAAGTGTTTTCTGTGTAAAGCCCTGTTTTCTTCCCTGAGGAGAATCTGGATCGCATTAAGAGCGGACGCGTGTGTGTGTGTGTGTGTGTGTGAGAGAGAGAGAGAGAGTCCAAATGTCTATAGGGTCTGCTGATAGGACAAAACGGCGGCGTATACTGGCACGATCTCGGAGGTTTTCAGTCATTAATGGCTGGATTTGAAATTATTTAAAGAATAATACGTTCAAATATTCATCACGTATCAGTTGTATTTGTTTTAAAGTTAAAACTACATTTTATGACTAATTTAATTACTTTATAATTTTTTTATTGTGGGCTATTGCTAAGCTAATCTTTAAAGATACGGCCATTTCTGAACTTCATCAACAACAGGTTCAGCTAACGTCAAGAAGGCTTAACGTTTAGCTTGTTGTTGTTAGCTGTTTGGGTTATTTCTGAGAAACTTTTGGTCTTCGTGGCAATTCTAGACAATCTAGAAGTGTCTAGTCTATTTTCTGGCTAAGTGTTGGCTAACTTGATAACTACTGTGCTGTGTTTAAGCTATCGTTGCTGTTTATATCATGCTAACTTTGCTAATATTTCACTAACTTGTCTTTCATTTCTTTCCTTTTTGAAACTCAACGTACGTTTTTTGTAGTTTATCATATTTTTTGAAAGATTTTCTATCTCAAATACAAATTATATAATAATAATGACGTTAGCACATGAAGGTAACAAACTGTAACGAGCTTGGTAAAAGTCGCAGTAATATGTAATCATATCAAGGCTAGCAGACAGAGTGAGTGATATGATTACTCATGCGGGGCTATCTTTGTGTAGCTCTGTGTGTGTGTGTGTGTGTGTGTGTGTGTGTGTGTGTGTGTGTGTGTAGGCAGTTACTTTCAGCACCTCGTCTTGTTGTCTTTCTCGGTGTTGACAGGAGCAGAGTCGGGGGGTCAGACGAGGTGAAACACAGACACCACGGATGACAAGGAAACTTCCTCTGCCTCTGAAACAAAAAAATTAAACACTAATGATAATGTTCTCAACATCTCGAAAAACGTTTCCATCCTTTATAAGAGTGGAATTGTATATTTCTATTTTTTTCTATTTTTTTTCTTTTTTTTAATTTAAAACAACATTTTCTGATCCACTACCGTGCATTTGGGAGTAGGCAGGACTCCGCAACGGAGCAGAGGCCACAGCAGAGTGTCAGAACTGCTGAAGACTGCAGGAGTAAGTATGTACAGTATGTGTGTGTGCGTGTGTGCTCTGGGTGTGTTTTTTTTTTCTTCCAAAACAACAAAGGGATTGGCAGGACGAGTGGATACCAGTGCGGCGTATAATCAGAACCAGGCCTCTGCCATCCATCAGTGACGGCCCGAATCACACAATGACTGACATCAGCAGACCAGTGGATCTCCTCCTGGTTCCACTGCAGCAGCACAGACCTGGTCATTAGTCAGTCTGACACCTCTCATTTATTCTCCGTGAGGAGAAGGTGTGTGACAGTCTCTCTCTCTCTCTCTCTCTCTCTGGATACGATATCCTCGCTCCTTCTACTGCGCCTCCCTGCGTGGCTCCGCCGCTGCGAGAAAGTCACTTTCAGTTTTCTAACTCACATATGCTGTTGACATCATGCCGCTGTTACGGCCTCCGCGGACGCTGGTTACAGTAAGGACCTGGACTCGACGTACAAACGTGTTCGCACAGGGCTGGAGAACCTCATTTTTGCTCACACTGAGTAGAAAGAAAATCAATAAATAATTCATTCCTTAGATTAGAGTGTGTTTACGCCGCACAAACCTACGCACGACTGAGTGTTTTCCACACATGTGAGTGTGCGAGTGTTTTCTAAGCAGCCATTAAAAACAGCCACAACATCGCAGCACCTCATTTACTCCGCTTTTATTAGGAAGTGGGAAGGAAAAAGAACCAGCGGTCAACAGTGTCACGTGCAAAACGTGTTCATTTTCAGGAAGACGAAGAGGCATCGACAGTTTTTAAGTCGCAGTTTTCCGGCCTTTGCTGTGCAAACCATAAATGACTAAAAGAAATCCTACTCCGACTGGTTTAACGCAACATTTCGCAGCTCTTCCTTTAGCAACTTACAGCTAAGTTGTCCACTGTTGTTGCAATTTACACTAAGTCCACTCTCCACACATATTTTATTTAGCATAGTTAGCTAACAACACGTTTAGCTAACTTAGCCAAGTGTTGGCTAATTTGCTAAGTATTGTGCTTACTTAAACTCTTGTTGCCGCTTATATCGTGCTAACTTTGCTAATATTTCGCTAACTTTTCTTTCATTTCTTTCTTAATTAAAACTTAGTTCACACTTCTTGAGTTTGTTACATTTTTTGATAAATTTAAAACTTTTAAACTTTTAAATAAATATATATTTAAAACTTTTAAACTTTTAAATAAATGTTATATATTTGCTTGTTACATATTTGTCGTTACCATTAAGTAGAAAAAGAAAAGCATTCTCACCGAGGTGGAAGTTTAAATCCAGGCTTTGCTCCCTGATGAAGTGACATTAGGTTAAAAAAATTAAATTAATAAAAAAAAGAAATTAATTAATTTAAAAAAAAATCTACTTTGTTTGGAAAGGAAAATAAATAACACGATGAAGAATATATTGCCTTTGTAAAAATAATTTCCATCAGATGTACTTTAACATGTAAATCTAAAATACCCCTGTCTGGAATGCACCGTATCCACCCAGTGTGTGTGTGTGTGAGAGGGTGTGTGTGAGAGGGTGTGTGCGGTCCTAGACACATTCGACGGCACACATGTAAGAGTGCATGTGTTTCAGAGCATGTGTGTAGGGGTCCTGCTCACATGTGTAATAGATGTGTAATATCTAGTCCCGGGCCTCATCAGCGCTGTCATCACGTCACGTCTTCACTGCGTCTGTGACGGAGGATTGTTTTACTGAAGTCCAGCAGATGGAACCACAAAGACGTTCGTGTTCATCTGGGTTTCAGCCTCTCGCTGCCCGCACCAACAATCAGTGAGGAAAAAACACAAAACAGAGAAGATGCTGCTGGTGAATCCAAGTCTGATTGTGTGCGTGATGTGTAAATTTGAAAGGGAAAAAACTGAAACCTGTCTTTTTACCACTGATGTCTATTGGATGAAGATAAAAAGTCTTTAAATTTACAATATAACTGCAGAGGAAACTTTTCTTTTTTTTTACCAGCAAAACAAGTAAGTTATATTGGTGTGTGAGTGTAAATGTTAGCTTAGTCAGCTACGATAATAAATCCAAATTTAAATGTATTTTTCTGTACCGCTGATTGCAACATTTTTCTTTTAACGCTACTTAAAGAACAACAAACATATGTACACGCGTGTACATTTAGCCAAAAATGGTCCCACATGTGCTGCAAAAGGCTAGCACTTGCAAGCATATGGTTCCTCTGGGAATTGAACCCAGCACTACTTGGCCTTTGCTTCCGAGGACTGCATGCTAACCGCTTCGCTATTTCACTTTTTTATTCCTAGTTTCGTCCAGTGATGGCTGTTTGATACACGTCAGGAATTTGATTTAGTAAAATGTTCCTCTAAACAGGATCATTACCCATAAAACTGACAACATGTTCTATCACTTTTACAGCCCGTTTATTTAATTTGGACATGGTTAGCTATGCCTTAACTAGTAGTCTAATTAAGTTTTATAAAAAATAATACTAAGGTAGGGACGACTGTCGTTATTCATATCACTGTCTTTGCTGTTGATCCACCCGCTGCTCGTCGCTGAGCAGAAAAGACAGAGGCGGAGAATGAAGTCGAGCTAACTATCCGTAACCACACGGAGAGAGCACAGTAATGAGTCTGCAAATACTGCACTGCACTTCACGGGTGAACGGAGCGGAGCCAGCTGCGCTAATGGAACCGATGCGAGCTGATCAGTGCATAATGTCTACCAAAACGTGGGGATTGAATATCACACGGGCTGAGGTCTGTCGTCCAGAGAGAAGGTGCGTCAAAGTGACACAACATCTGTGCATCTCCCCCACATTAGGACGTCCATCTCTGAATCCTCTGCTAATCAAGTGATGGTTAAAAACCAAAAAAAAGTTCATGGAGGATCCGGGTCATTGTAAAACAGAGCCGACGTTGCCGGGGAAACGCGCACACAGCCGACGTAAATAACGTGATCTATTAGTGCCATCTGGAAAACATTGCACCGAAGTGTGTCCTGGTTGTGTGCCGTATGAGAGCAGATCAATTACAGTATTTATTTGTGCAGCGAAGCCTCGGTTCAGTCGGCGGGATCATGGAGTGGGATGTCGAGAGAGGATCCTGCACTAACAGTACCGCGAAGGACGGATCTCTGAGATATCCTGAACAATAATGGACTTACAAGGAGGGAAGTATTTGGGTTTCTGCTTCTCACAACCTCTTTATTTTCCTAAAATTAAAACCAGACCAGAAAATGGAGTGTAGTTCCTCAGTTCTTGGGGGGGGAGAAGGGAACAGAGGGGTAGCATGTACTCTTGTATTACAGCTTTAGAACATTGGGTATGTTAGGGTAAATGATCCTGCAGCAACCACTGATAAATAAAATGTATTTTTCTCATACTTCAAAATTGGCGTCCAAACATAAACAGAATCAATAATCGGTTTATTCAATTTTTATTTTTTTTTTTCAAATTTGGTCAGTGATGTATTTACTCCAAATCACTGAGAACAGACACAGCTTTAAAATTCAAATTTTATAATTAATTTATTCTTCTACTCTTTATTATATATCAATTATTAAGGCTATTGGAGAAAAATGAAGAGAAGTCAAAGAATTACAAAGTTAGCAAACACGATCAACGCTTAAATCGCCGCTAAACTTAGCATCAGTGAAATGAGCTTCAGGACGCAGGACGTCCAATAATTCACGCCTTTTTGTTATTGTTGTGACGAGTTTTCTGGGAGAAGTCTTCGTGACCACCAAGAATCTTAAGAATGTCCAGTGCACAAACACTGAGAATGATCAGGGAGGATTTGATTACGCTTACACTTACTTCCCAACTTACGAACACAATGGGTTCCGAAAGGCTGTTCGTAAGCGGAGTTGTTCGTACGACGTTTAGAGCGAGGTCGATGTGCATGCGTAGACGTTGGGAGAGCAGGAAGAGGGAGGAGTTATTGTTGGTGAGAGTCAGAGTCGTCATCAGGTTAACTTGTACGGAAGCGATAAAGTATCCAAGAGGGTACCTAGCCTAACGCGCTGACATGCTTACGGAGACACACGCAAGAATGAACATGGCGAGAACAGGGAGACGAGTGTTGGAGCGGTGCTGCTCGACGTGGGTTCAAAATAGGAACTTGCGAACGCAATACGGCATTTTACGAACATGTATGGACATTAGTCAGCGGTTGTTCGTATCTACGAATGTTCGTAAGTCGGATGTTAGTATCTCGGGGAACTGCTGTAATGACAATTTGAATATAATATTTATAAAATATTTATACTGTGAATCTGATTCAATCAAATAGAAGACAGTGCTTAGAAAGAGGAAACTGTTTAGTAATCCACACACACACACACACACACACACACACTCTCTCTCTCTCTACTGATGTGTGGCTTTGCATCATCTGGATTATATTTATCCTCTGTAATCCAGGAGAAGGAGAACAGGGAGCCAGGGGGGGGGGGGGGGTTAAGAGATGAAGAGATAAAGACGTGACACAAAGGGGTGAGGGAGAGATGAATCGAGTGTCACACTCTCTAATTTGGCTCCTGCTGCCGG